CTGACTTGGAATTCTGTGCTTCTTTCTCATGTGGTTTTTAATATATGAGGGAAACCAAAGGAACAGAGAGCTGTGATGTGACCTACGTTTTGGCTGTGACATCCACATACTGTCCCGGACGAAAGTGAGCAGCGTACAGTGGAGTGCCTTTATAGAAAAAAAAATCAGTATGAAATGCGTCTGCCCAGAAATAACTCATTAAACATAAACCACATCCAGGAACCTTCTAGCTACCAGATCTCAAAAACGTTAGGAGAGTCTCTTCTGCCATCATAACCATTAGACTTGCCAATAATAAAATAATAAAGTCGTTCAGCAAACGTACTAAACGTACCTGGGCTGAACCACGAAGTGCCCCCTACGAAGCACCTGGTGCCGGTGAGGCCGGTGTGCTTGGGCCTCCAGAGGCCAGCCTGGTGCTGCCCAGGTGGGTGGGTCCTGGGCCAACAGTGCTCGGGCTGCTAGTTACACGGCTCTGAAGGTTCTCGGCTGTTCTTGTGAATAACAGTATATTAAGATAAATTTCCTATTTCGGGGGGAGGGTATAGCTCAAGGGGTAGAGCACATGCTTATTAGCACGCACGAGGTCCTGGGTTCAATGCCCGGTACCGCCATTAAAAAAATAAATAAACCTAGTTACCTCCCCCACAAAATTAAAATATATATATATATTTCCTATTTCAAATAAGGACAATAAAAATAAGAGAATGACTTAAAAAATACTGAGGCTAGATCAAGTCTTTCTCTTTTTTCCCCCATTGGAGATGTTATCCAAAAATAGGAACCAACATTAACATCATCAAATAAGAGATTTATTTTAAGCCAGAACCAACGTAGTAGAGAATGTAACTGAAAGATAATTTTTTTTGTTGTTTGTTTAAAACAGGGAGTAAAATGCTGGAGGCTTTCAGAGGATAGTGTCCTTTAAGGGAGAACCCAATCTGGATTTGTATGTGCAGAAAAAACCTTGAATTAAGAAAAAATAGGGGAAGTTAAAAATGACTGAATTTCTACGAGGTTGAATGACCTGAATTGCTGATATTTGACCATTTTTCACTCACAAAAGCAACAATGTCACATGGTCTGAGCTATAGCAGAAATTAATGTGGACTTAATTTTTACACTTGTTAGTTTAATTTTATTTATTGTACCTTAAAGATGAAAAAAACATGCACTTCAAAAAACACCTTTGTGGGGAGGGTATAGCCCAGTGGTAGTGAGTGTGCTCAGCATGCACGAGGTTCTGTGTTCAATCTCCAGTACCTCTGTTAAATAAACCTAATTACTTTCTCTGTCTCTCTTTCTCACACACTCACACACACACAATAATAAAATAAACTTTTAAAAAAAGCTTCTACTCTTAAAAAACTTTGAATTCTAGCTTCTATCAAGGCTGACTCTCACCTCTGCAACTGTATTTCACTTGAAGAGATTCAGTTCAGGTATTAAAATATCAAATCTGAACACACCGTTCTACAGTGTACTTGTCAGACTTAAGTTCAAGAGATCAGGGAGCTTTTCTGAAGTTCAAAGACATCAAAATGTGCTAACTACATGAACTGATACAATATACATTGCCAAATCTTTTTGACATTCCATGGATTAGGCAAAATACCTTCGACTTTTTGGTAAGAATCTTCACATCAAGGTGCTGTGGTCACTTTTCCGCTTCAGGCTGCATTTTCTCAACCTATCTCAGCAAGAGTCTAGCTATTCTTCACTAAATAAAACGCCAGCCTACAAGAAGTGAACTTCACATTTTTAAAGTTCATTTATTTATTTGGAGTGGCTTTTTCAAATGTGAAACTCTCTGTACTTTAAAAACAAAAGCATCGCTCCCTCTCTCATGTATACAAAGAGTTCCCTACAGTTCCCTCCACTTAAAAAAGAGACTTGTTTGCCCCTAGTGATTAAATCCGATACAGTTTTATATTTAAAAATAAACGTTTGGGACTTTGTATTGTGAATTCAGCTTTATCGAAAGGGCTGACATTAAACAAATCACACAGTTGGGCGGATTTCTGCCCCCCTGCCCCCCAACCTCAGATTACCTGGCTTAATTACAGCATTGTCTGTTACTTTAAAGATTTTCACTTTCTGTTTTGGAGGTAATCCAAGTTCCTGGTAAAATTCCAATATAGCTGGAGATTTCTGGAGGAAAACAGCACACATAAGGAACACATTAAATACTGAAGGTGGAATTTCACGCACAGGCACCTAAACCGAGGTATGTTAACACCCTAGAAAACAACGAGCACCGCGCTTCCCTGTGAACTAAGAGTGTCCTATCGGCCCCTTACTTGAGGGGTGAGAGCTTCGTCCGTCACACTTAGGGTCCAACAACCGGCAGTGTGTGGCTCGTCTAGAGCATTTGGGGCAAGACTCTGTTTCATGGGAGAAGGAATATACTTGTGCTCGTATGTGAACTTTGACTGGAGATCGTGTGTCTGAGGAACCTGATCCTGGGAACCGCACCTGTCTCCTCCACACCTGCATCCAGACCTCCAGGTGGGTCCTGGTGTGGCCCAGCCAACCCACCCTTGATTGAATCCCTCACTCCTCCAAGGCAGCTCTGTCACATCCTCTTGAAACCTCATCACCGTCCCCTCCGCCCCCCTGAGCTGATCACGCTGCTTCCCATCTCACTGCACACACAGAAGTAGGAGCACTTCCCCAGGCTTTCACCACCAAATTAGTTGAGTGCTGGCACCAGCCTTCCACATTGTCGCCTGCCCATCCCATGCTAGGCCGCACAGGAGGTCCGAGGGGAGCTTGCAGACAACGCTGATGCCAGGCCTTCAGCTTGGAGGCTGGGGGTCACCGGTCAAGGTGGCACCCAGGCGTCAGGGCTTGGAAACACTCCCCATGGTCATGATGTGAAGCCGGGGCTGGGAATCACCACAGAGAACTGTCCACACTCTTACTAAAGCCACACCTTCACTGAGTGCTGACTCCCACCCTGTCACCTAGTCGATGGCTTTGCTCCTAAAACTGTCCCCATCATCTTCTGAACAGTTGCCCCCTTCTTACTGGAACTTTCCTACCAGTATAGAAAGAATTACAGGCACGCAAATTAAAACTCCTTGGCCACAGAGACTCCTTCAGCTCCCCTCTGACAGTACTCCATGAAAAAGGTGATCAGTCTCCCCTCTCTCGCCTCCTCCTCTCAGACCCACTTGCGGCTTTCAGCCCCTAAGCTCAATGCTGTCGAGTGCTGGTCCAGGTTGCACAAGCTCTCCACGTGGTCAACACTCACTTTTGTGGCTCCGTGAGCAGTGCTGGTGCAGGAGACCACCCTCCCAGAGAGGCCTCCACCAGCCTCCAGCCACTGCTCCCAGTGCTCACACAAGTTAATGACCCACTTTTCTAACTTCCGTCCCCAATTCTACTCTGAACCACAAAAATCTAACCGCCAACTCAGTGTTTCCCTCTGATGTCCCACGACACAAGCTGCAGACGTAAAATCGAACTCCACAAGCCCCCGCCCCAGCCAAGCCTGCCCTCCCCTTGTCTTCCACATCTCACCCAACAGCAGCTCTGCACTTCTGTTAAGACCCAAATCCTATGATCACCTGTGACTCTTTCCTTTCTCACATCCCATGTCCACCCATCAGCCGTTCCCGAAGACTCCACTTCAACCACGTCCCAGCCCCGCCCTGCCGGCCAGCCTGTCTGGATCATTTCAACAGCCCCCAAAGAGGTCTGCAAACCTCCACACTCCAGACCCCTAGTCTGCCCTGCAATCACGGGCTGCACCAATCTCCACAAGGGCCCCTCTACCCCAGTGCAGAATCGATACCCAAGTCCTCACTGCACGTTACAAGGTTCCACATGGCCTGCCCTCATCCACCCCTCCTCCTGACCAGTCTAAAACACATTAAACAAGGGCCTCCGCACATGCTGAGCCCCCTGCCAGCAACCCCACTCAGCCAGATTTTCCCGCTCTCTCCTTTTCTTCTCCATGGTCTTAAACTGCCTACGGTGTTTACAACTGTGGAAAATGTTTGCCTCACTTTTTTTAAAAAGGGCAAAAAGGAAATATTTCTGTTCTTTTCTAGGATTTCAATTTTCTCCCTCAGTAAGGTGTGGACACTATATTAATTTAATACATACATGCACATCCAACAAGTCTGCTCTGCATAAGTTCCTGTCACCTCTTCCCACTGTAGATGGGAGACTTCTTTTTAAGAGTGAGTTTTTATTAAGAAAAATTTCAAACATATACAATGAATGTTGATATCCAGAGTAAATAACTATCAAAATTTGGCCAGATTTATAGGTGTTTTAAATTTTTTCTTCCATATTTATTGAGATACAATTGACATACAGCACTGTATAAATTTAAGGGGTACAGAAGGCCGATCTTGTATCATAAAATGATTAGCACAGTAAGTTTATGAACAGCCATCACCTCATACAGATAAATAAATGAAAGAAAAAGGACTTTTTCCTTGTGATGAGAACTCTTAGAATTTCTCTCTTAACAACTCAGGTGCAAACATACAGCAGTGCTGGTTATGTTTACCACGTTCGTTGTGCACTACATCTCCGGGTTCATTCATCCTACAACTGGAAGTCTCCCACCACCTGCCTCTGGTAACCACAAATCTGATGTCTTTTCAGATGAGTTTGCTCGTTTGTCTGTTTTTAAAGTATAATGACTGTGACACCATGTAGCTCCTGGTGCACAACACAGTGATTCGATATTTCCATACATTTCAAACTGATCCCTGCGGTAAGTGTGGTCACCACCCTAGTTACTACTTAGTCACTGACTGTAGCCCCGCCTGCACACTCCATCCCTGCGACTGGCAGTTCACACCTCTTCCCCTCCCTCCCCTAGTTCTCCCCAAAACCCGCCAGGTTCTTACATGACTTGCTCCCTCACTTTTTCCAGGTCTCCATCCAAGTATCAACTCACCTTTCCTGATTATTCTACTAACAGCAACACTTTCTGTCACGTGTGATGCCCTCAGCCTACTTCACTCACCTTCCAAGCACCCCTATGTGTGCACCTTAACTGTTTCTCTTCTGTGCAGCAGCCTCCCTGCCTCAACCCAACCCCATGTAAGCTGCTTAGAGTAGAGGCTTTGGGGCTTCTCTGTTTACCATCACTCTGTTTCCTGCTATTGTAAATATCCTTGAATAGAACCTTTATATATTTTCTTATCATAATGTCCTGGTGTCTTTTTGTCTTTTTAAAATTCTTACAACTCTTGACATAGATCACTATGAGACTTGGCAAGAAAGCTGCACCACTCCACACTTCCATACGGGGAGAGCCTCCCTCATCAGATTCTAACACAGGCACGCCCTTCACCCTCAGCCCCTCTAACTGTAAGTGAGCGCCTGCAGGGCCCAGTGACCACAGAACTCCGAGTGCTTCCCTGGGTCTCCTAGGCCAGTCTCTTTACCCATCATCTCCTCTCTGCTCTGTGCTTCCAAAGGTCATTAAAATCATTAATACATGTCTAGTCCCAGCTCTGGTAAGCAGCCCCACTTATCTGCAGAGCATATTTGAATATGTAGCAAACCTCAGGTATTTGCTAAGTTCAGTTTGAAATAAGAACTGCTCGTACCCCTTTATAACTTACTGAATAGGTTACCTTTAGTTGACGTGAAATTGGGTGGCACTGGCTCGTAAGCAGAGAACTTTAACACCTGGGTCAGCCCACAACCCCCTGAGACTCTCCCTGGGGACCCACTGGGACTGTGCACCAAATGCTGAGTAGCTTTGCTGTGGACGCCCACGAAGGACTGTCCTCTATTGCACGGCATTCCCTCGGGAGCCCACCCCCCCCAAGAGTGATACCATTAATTCATTCCCATCATTCGCTATGGTTCACTTCCCGAGTGCTGAAATCTAACACTGGTATGCAGCATCACTCATACCAAGGCCCTGCTTTTCATCTTCAATCATATCCACTTCTGCCATAACAAAGGCAAACAGAAAAGTTTTCATTAAAAAAATGCAGCTCCTTGAAAAAGAAATAATAGAAATTCAAATCGGAAGGGAAGAAGTAGCACTGTCACTGTCTGCAAATGACATGATGCTATATATAGAAAACCCTTAAGATGCTACCAAAAAACTATCAGAATAGACGAATTCAGTAAAGTGGTAGCATACAACATTAAGAGACAGAAATCTGTTGTGTTTGTACACACAAAAATGAACTATCAGAAAGAGAAACTAAGAAACAATCCCATTTACCACTGCATCAAAAATAAAAGGAGGCAAGAACATACAATGGAGTAAAGAGTCTCTTCAGCAAGCGGTGTTGGGAAAACTGGAGCGGCATGTAAATCAATGAAGTTAGAACACTCCCTCACACCACACACAAAAATAAACTCCAAATGGCTTAAAGACTTAAATAGAAGACACTATCAAACCCCAAGAAGAGAACATAGGTAAAACATCCTCTGACGTAAACTGAAGTAATGTTCTTCCTACGTCAGTCTCCCAAGGCAATAGAAATAAAAGCAAAATAAACAAGTGGCACCTAATTAAACTTATAAGCTTTTGCATAGCCAAGGAAACCATAAACGAAATGAAAAGACAATCTACCAACTGAGGAAAAATATCTGCATATGACGTGACTGACAAGGGCTTAATTTCCATATAAACAGCCCATACAGCTCAGTAACAACAACAAAAAAAATTAAAAAATGGACAGATCTAAACAGACATTTCTCCAAGAAGACAGCCAGACAGCCAATAGGCCCATGAAAATATGCTCAATATCACTAATTATCAGAGAAATGCAGATCAAAACTACAATGAGGTATCACCTCACACCAGTCAGAATGGCCATCATTCAGAAGTCCACAAATGACAAATGCTGGGGAGGGTGTGGAGAAAAGGGAACCCTCCTACACTGCTGGTGGGAATGCAGTTTGTCACAGTCACTATGGAAAACAGTACAGAGGGTCCTTAAAAAACTAAAAACAGACTTACCATATGATGTAGCAAACCCTCTTGGCCACATATCCAGAGGGAACTCTAATTCATAAACAGCAGCACTATTTACGACAGTCACAATACAAATGCAACCTAAATGTCCATTGACAGGTGACTGGATAAAGAAGTTGTGGTATATTCATACAGTGAAATACTACTCAGCCTTTAAAAAGAATGAAATAATGCCATTTGC